CAAAGCCCTGTAGTACTGCCACCACCGCCCTCCCAAATCCTTCCAGCTCCTCTTCATGCAGTCTCACTCAGGTCTCTGTGCCAGTTTTGTTATTGGTACGTTTTTCTACCATCTGTAAAGGCATAAAATAAAACCAGGCTCAAAACTGAAATTCTCTGTGAGGTTTTGGGAGCTTTTGGTGCTTGCTGTGTTTCATGGTAGTAGATATTGTGTCTGCTGTATTGTATTTTTTGTGTGTGTGTAGTGGAACATAGTGCAACTTCCTCTCCCTGTGACAAGGAGGAGGAGGGTCAGTAGTGGACGCAAAGGCTCGGTGTTTGTTACCTGGTTTAGGGAGATCTAGTTAGCTACTTTGCTTGTTTTAGAAGGAGGAAAAGAGATCACTTGATCGGTCAGCAAGACCACATGACAAGCAGCTGAGTGTAATTAGGTGCGTAGGGTGGTTGTGTGGGGCTGGCAGCTTTGCACGATAGTGCCAATTTTAGAGCTATTCTGAACTATACTATTTTGGTTTTATTTTCTTCCTCTGCTGATACTACCTGTAGATGAGGAATGACTATTTCTGCATGACTATGGTATTCAAGAGATCTGAACTGTGTCAGCAAACTCTTCACTGAAGTACCCTTGGAAGACTACAGATCCTTTTGCAGCTGTTAGGCATAGGTATGTAAACACTTTCTCTCTTTTTATTTATTTATTGCATTGTTTTCCTTGAGCTGACAGTTGTTCTGTGCCAGCTGTAAGAGCTTTGCAAAAACATTGCTGTACTTTTGTCAAACTGCCTGAAATACTTTGATTTTAAGAGACCGTTCAGCATTGCTGCATGCTCATGTTCTAGAGCAAAAAGTAAACTTAAAGCTGGGAAGTGTGCTGCCTTGTGTAAAACATGGGCTTGGGGTTTAAATGCCAAAGCTGCAGCTCTTCGGTGTGTCTTTGGTCATTGCTTTTCACAAAGACAAACCTGGGCAAGCTTATCAGTAAGATTAAAATAGGTGACTGCAGTGACTAGTGTCTGGATTCAGTAACCATAAGATGTCCTTTCTGGTCCCAAGTCATCAGCCTACGTTTCCTTCTGTATTGTCAAACTTGTTCTACAGTTGGAAGGTGGGATCAGACCTTTGATAGTACAGTGCACTGCGCAAATAACAGTCCATAACACAGAACAAAGTAACTTAGTATTTTTAAATGTTGTCCTGCTTGAACTTTTTCCCCCCTCTATTAATTCCTGTGTTCTCATTAACATATGAAGATAATAATGTATTTAATAAAACAGTCCTTCAGAATGGTGTTTTTTTTTAACTGAGTTGCAGACCAATGTATTCGTTCCCATGTATGCTAAATATATTGATGATAAAAGGAATGAAAATGGTGTTGCACAGTCTGTTACTTTTACTTAGCAAAAGAAATTGGACTGCAAGGAGCCGTGAGAGTCATCTAGTTCACATTCCTTGTTCAATCATATAGTAGTGATTTCAGTCTTAAAATTAATTATGGTAAAGGCAAAATGGGGATGGGATGTTATTACTGTGTTTTGTATCTCTGGAAGAAAGTCAAAATGCATGTGCCCATCTGACTAGGTCATTCCTTGCCACCCCAAGCATGAATTTGTCATCGGGCATCGTTTCTAGCCCATGTGTTTGCCAGCGTTGTTCTAATCATGGACCAAACCTCCAGTTTTTGTAGACTGTAAATAACCAAGAAGGAGTTGCTCAGAGAACAGAAAACAGTATTCTCCTCCACTTCTGTGGGAAGGTCACAAGGCTTTCCCAGGGTTTTAACTGGTGTCTAGCATAGCGTATCTTTAGCTGGCTTTTGCTGGTCCTGATCATCACCCCTTGACTTGTGTTTATGAGAGAGAAGAGAAAAATTCATAAATGTAGTTAAATAAATATGTTTTCTTGCTGTTGCCTTATAGACATTCTCAGTGTGTGAAAAAGCTTATATAAAATAACTGGGAGGAAGGATTTTTGTAAACACTGGTGCTTGACTTAGTGGTTTTTTTTCTGTGCTGTGCTGGACAGATTGGTTGTCCTAGTTGCTTCGTTGTAACTTACTGCTCTATCATGCTTTTCAGTTGCTGCATTACACACGCATTGTGAATGTGTGTTGCAGAAACAATTTTTAATACATTTTAGGGTAGTGATTTCTATAGCCTCAGTTGTTTGAGGATTAAATTTTGATAATATTTGGGTTCTGTTTTATAGAGCAAAACAATATTCTAGCATGTGGTGCTGCCCCCCTTTCCCTCACCATAATATTCCCAGAGGGTTTCAGTATGTTTGCTTTTTTCCAGCATGTCTTTCATTTACAACACCATCTTAAACGAAACTCCCTTAGTAATTAAGCCTGGTAAAGACAAACTAGGAATCTAATTCAGCTGGAATTCTTTAAACATGTCGCTAAGAATGGCATCAAAGAGAAAGTGTAATTTTTTTTTGCTTTTAAAAACATTTTGAAAAAAAAAGAGACAACCAACAAAAATTCTGAAACTATACAAAATTTGAAGAAAGAACTCAAAAAACCTTAAAAGCAGTTAATGGAAAAAGCGTTGGAACATATGCTGGTGGAATGAGGGAAATAAGCTTTAGTCAAAGGGATGCACAAATAACTTTTTAAGGAGAAGTTAAGAGTAACTTTTCTTTGGTCTAAAATGTTTTACTTCATAACTTGGAAATAATGCAGCTCCTGCTTCTGAATTTTTTCTAAAAACTGTGTCATGGGGATAAAATTTCTTTACAGAAATTCAGTTTTGATGCATTATGGTGCAACCCTTGGTGTAAACAGATGCAGAACTGGGATCTTGGTGAGGTGGGAATTCTCTGGGAATGAGTGGGCTGGTATATGTTAGCACAGCTCCCCTGTAGGCACCGCGCCTGTACCGATTAGTGCTAACTGAGATTCTCTTTTTCTCACGTACTGCATTTGTTTTTACTGGAATCTCATTACTGGGTTTTTATTTCCTTCTATAGGAAATAATGTGCAGTGTTTAAAATCAAACCAAACACGGCAAACCAAAGCCAGTCTTTTAAGAGATGAAACAGCAGCACCTCCTTTAATGAGTCTTTTCAAATAGAAAAACTTGTGTTGGGCAGTACCATTGCATACTCCCAGTTTCTTGTGACTTGGTCACAGAAGCGCATAGCAGAATATATTCTTTCCTATCTACTTACCCTTTATATCCTGCTTTTCATTTCAGAGGTTTGATGCCTTTCTCAGTCATAATGTAGAACATAAAGAAATTTGAAATTGTTATATGAAGTTGATTTGCCAGTTTGCATGAGCTTTTCGGATTCTTCATAAATATGCAAAGTTTTATACTTAGTTTTGAGTCAAGAAAGCACAGTCTGAATCCACTGTAGTGTGAAAACTACATATGCATTTCCTTGGTGCAGTTTTCTACAGGGAACTTGCATTGCCTGGCTTGATTAGAGCAGTCTGACTGGCAATGTATTTTCTTTGAATGACTTTGTATATTTTTTCTGGAACTTGGGTTATAGAAGTAGTTGTTCTGTAAGCTTGTTGCTGCTACGCCATTTATTAGCAGTAACAGAATCATTCTGAATAATAATTTTAGTTGAAGACTTCTGGGGGGAGAGGTAGGGAATTGCCTGTTACTGTACGTAGTTAAGGTGAACCTTGAGGATGCTGTATGTCCGCATGAAATGTGACAAAAGAATTCTGCAGAAAGGCATCTACAGCGTGAAAAGCTGGCCACAGCTGCAGGTTTCAGCCAGGGGTGTTACTCTGCAGCCATCTTGGGGCCCTTCCTCAATCTGGGAATAACGAAAAGGAATAGTATGGGCAAACTGTGGCATCAGACTTGTGATTCTTTTTGCTTTCCTTACAGGGCTCAGGCATACCTCTGTGACAAGAAATCCTAGTTTGCTGTGCTCAGTTATCTGAGCAGTCTGTGCTGTATATCAAGGTTTAACTATAATTCGTGCTGTAATACAGGATTCTGATCAGAGCAGTAAGATAAATAGCGTTAGCAACTCAGGTTGGAAAACAGCAGGCTTTTTGAATGGAAGCTTTGTGTTACGCAGTTCGGCCTGCTTAATCAGTGCTTCTTTTGAATTATCCCTTCCCTGAGGCTCTAGAAAAGAAGCTGTGTTAGGATACGAATTGAAGCAAACATTTTGCCAAAGCGCTGTCTGAATGCTTTGGCAGAGCCTCAGTAGAAAGCCCGGACGGTGTTAGTACATGTGGCAGTTCTGGAGCTGTTCAAGTGGAAGATTCGGTGACTTGTTGAAAGTATGGGCTTATTTTTCAATTCTTGCAATAAAAAACCCCCAAACAACAGTTCTAGCTTTGCTTTGTTAGAAGAGTTTGGATGATACTTCGAGCCACAAGCGTGCTCCAACAGGACTGTCTCTTGCTGTCACAGATCGAGATTTTGGCTTTGCTGTTGCTAGTTAGTAACTTCCCGAAGAGAACTGGTCGTGGCCTGTTGAATACTGCCTGGCTTTATTTCAGGCAGAAGTGGTATTTTGTTATATAATGGACAAATTATGCCCAGAGTGTTCTCACCAAGTTATTTCTACCTTTTGCATAGCATTTATGAAACATGGAAGCATCACATGTGTTTACTATTTCCAGATACATTTACTAAAAGTCCTGCCCAATACTGGCTGAAAATCTCTCTCTCAGACTTGTAGCTATTACAGACTCTTGAAATCAAAGGCTCAGTTCTTTTTTGAGACCTCTTAAGAGCAGATTATTCAAGACTGACCCGTCTCTTAATTTCTTCGAAGCACCGTGCTCCCAGCCTGCAGTGCTCTGACTGTCCCCTCACTGCAGTGGTTGCAGCGTGGTCTGGAGCAGGCCCAGCGTGCTCGGCACCTGCAAGGATGCTTCTGCTGAATCGGAGAAGACTCACTAACAACTCAGTGTTATTCAACAAGGATTCTTTATCGCAGTGCCAGGCAGCACGGGGGATGGCTCCTTCCATGCCTGCGTGCCCAAGTGTTAGGATGCTTGCCTGATGTTTACAGCTTTTATACATATTTATTACATTTCTAAGAAAAGGTCAGGTTATTCTGATCATTTCCAGGAATTCATTAACGTAAGTTCCTCCCATAGTCTCGCCTCAGTCCGCCCAAGTTAGGCCTCCGTCGGGGGTCCGTGGTGGTCGTTGGGGATGAAGATCGGAGCCTTCCTCATGGTTGAACTTTTGAACTTGTCCTGTGGCGCATGCCCTGTACCAGCCTGGGTCTTTTCCCATTCACAGAACCAGCTCTTGCTCACTGCCCTCCCTATCTCTGCTGCTCAGGCCTTCGTGTTCCTTGAGCCCCACAGCCTGACTGGAGGATTCCACTGGCTGTCCTTCGCTTGGCGAACTTTGCTTCCTTCTTATCTCTAAAGACGAGTTGTTAGTTGGCAATGGATACGTACACACGCATAGTTCATTACAAACCGGCCTTATTCTTTATTACACTGTCAAGATTTTATGATTTTTAGAAGTTTGGGAGAAGTGAATGCTAGCTGTGAGCCTCAGTTTTATTGATCTAGGTAATATCCTTCCATCTCCATCTGTGTGTACCACTTCTCTGCTTAGCCTCTCTGCCTGTCCCTTGTATTTCAAGTCCAGACCCATTGGATTAGAGATTGCAGGAGTAGGAGGAATAGCCTTTTCTAGTTACTGGACAGGGGTTTTCTCAACCGAC